AGTTCCATCGACCTGGTAGTACTCACCATTTTCTTAGTTCTGAAAGAAGATCTTACATGCTTCCCTCTTCCACAAGCCTCACAAACTATATCTTTCTTGGACTTAATGTTAGGCAGTCCTATCACCAAGTCCTTGGAGACTAGTTTGTTGAGTTGACTTAGACTAGCATATCCAAGTCTCTTATACCAAAGGAGGAGATCACTATCCAATACACTTAAGTAAGTGAGTTCATTTTTTGAAAGTGTGGACATATCTACAACATATATGTTGTTCACTCTTTTTCCCTGCAAAACTATCTTATGAGTGGTAAGATTAATCACAAAGCATTTGGTAGATGTGAATGCTATAATGTTACCTCTATCATACAATTGTGATACACTTATTAGACTGTGCTTCAGTCCATCTATCAAATCAATCTTACCTGCCTTTCCAACCCCAACGATCTCACTTTTTTTCCCATTTCCAAAGGAGATATTACCTCATTTAAGGTCCTCAAGTGAAAGGAAGTGGTTCTTGCTTCCTATCATATGCTTTGAGTAGTAACTGTCCATGTACCATATTTGGCTGCTCCCCTTCACTTGGACCCGTAAAAGAAAATCAGGGGTTAGTCTTAGGAACCCAAACTAGTTTGGGTCCCTTTCTATAGGCAAAAGGATGAATCAAATTCCTTTTAGCCCAATTTGGGAGCCTATTTTTCCCTAGAACAAAATTTTTGTTCTTTTGATATGCCTTTTCTTTCGCAGTGCAATCACTCTTGTAGTGACCAGTGTTTCCACAGTGTGTGCAAATCTTATTCTCATGGAGTGTTAGGTACTTATTTTTGTGATCCCATTCGGATGCAAAGTTCCCAAAGATAAGTCCCTTTCTGTTGCTACTATGGTGTTCTTGTAGCCATGAAAGTGCATTGGAGGACCTGTTCCATTTACATGTTCTATCAAGCTCATGTTTAACCTTTGTTAAGTCCTCTTTCAAAGCTCTTACATTTTCTTCCTTTTTGTATAGCTCATCTTTAACCTTCCTTAAGCCATCCTCTAGGTTGAGTTGTATATCACTTGTTATCTCTTTTTCTGTCCCTAACTTTAACTTTACATTTTTAGATCTAAGTTCTAAGACAACTGTATCAAGTGCATGAACCTGGTTCTTCAAAGCAGTATTTTCCTTTTCAATTTTACAAATGTTTATTTCCAGGTTTTTGCATTCTGCTTTTAAAAAGTTACACTCTTTTAACAATTGTTCTTTTTCAGAACATATATTCTTAGATTCATCAATTAAAGTTAGCAAAAATTCTAATAGTCTATCTTTAGAAAGGAGTTTAATTTTATCCTTAAGGTCCAGAAAACTTATCTCAGATTCTTCATCAAGTTCATCTTCAGATTCTCGAATTGCTATGAGAGCTCGTTCAACACTATCATCAATATCCTCATCTGAACTATCTTTCCAAGTAGCAACCATTTCTTTAGATGACCTTTTGTTGTATTCTTCTTTTCATGAACCTGTTCCTTCTCTCTGTTCATTCTGTCAGATTTCTCCTTTTTCCACTCGACTTCCCACATAGGACAGTTCTTGATCATGTGGTTCTTTTTACCACATTTGAAGCACCCATCAGTCATCTGCAAGTGGTCAATTTTCCTCTCCTTCCACAAAGAATAGTAGTGATCATTGAATAGTGGTGGCCTAGTAGTGGATTGCTCTTTACAGTTTTCAGGTAGTGCACTCATCTTGATCTTTTTCTAAGGTGTTAGCCTCTTCAAGGATAACCCGCTCTGATACCAATTATTTTTTTATACTTTAATACCACACAAGAGGGGGGAGGGGGAGGGGTGATTTGTGTGGTGCTTGATTTTCGCGTGCACTGGATTATCGAAGGACCTGGTTCTTCTATGCATTCCTTACACTACAGTTGCGGAATAAATAACGCAGAAAGTAAAGAACACAAGGATTTTTACTTGAAAAACACCCGGCTCAAAAGGTGAAAAAACCACGACCTACTACCCAGTAGGATTTTCTCCAAACACTTCACTACAACTCTGAACCAACAACAAAGTTTACAAACTCTTGCAAACCTAAGGATTACCTCTAACCCTTGTAGCAACCTACCACAGGCTGTTGCGACCGCTTCAAGTTAACTCTAATTTGAACAATACAACTAGAGTTTACAACCTCTTGCAAACCTAAGGATTAACTCTAACCCTTATAGAAACACGCCACAGGCTGTTGTAATTACTTCAAGTTAACTCTAACTTGAAAGATACAACTCAGGTACGTAGTACAATTTTCTTCTTAGAAAACTGAAATGTACAACTCAAAACGCCTACTACACTTTGAACTAGAAATAAAGAAAGACACATAAAACTCTTTGTGGAGCTGGTTCTTCAATCTGGTTCGTGTAGCTTCAGGATCGCACTCTTAAATCTCACAGGAATTGCTCACAAAATGCCTTGCTATTTTGCTCTCAATTCGTGCTTAACTTCAGTGTGTGTGCATCACCTATAAAAGAGAACACAACTGATATATATAGAGTTAGTAAATAAAGATTAACTAGAAGTCTAATGCTTTACTCTTCCTTGGTGGAAGAGTTCTAGTTATCTTCAACTTCTAACTCTTTCCTTATCTTGGATAGAGTTTCCTTCAAGTAAAGAGTCCTGCTCCTTATCAAATATGCAATATTTTCGTTCAGGGATTATCAGAAATAACCATTTATACTTATCTCTTTCACGTGCATGCCTTTTGCTTGATTCTGCCCGTCACCTGTGTACATTGTCCATGGACCTGGTTTATGCATGTGTTCCTTTGTCAATCATCAAAACCAAAACCGCTCAGGTCAACAATGACAAAAGAGGTCGTTCTCTTTACAACCAAAATTTAGGGGCCAACTTTAGTTTAGATTTATTGCAACTCTTGGGGATCGAGGGGATTAAACTCTTATCTGTAAAAACTTATCCGCACCGGGTGTTTACATCTAATTTAGTTAAGTTAATCATAGAAGACAACCTAAGTCTATTAGAAGTCTAATTTTTAATAAATAAAAAAAGAAAAAGAAAAATAAAGTCATAATATTTAACTTAACGTTAGAAAGTTTAGCGCTAAAGTCACCGTCCTTTTTTGTTATTTCATTCCATTCTTCTTCTAGGTTCTGGCTGAGCTCGAAGTTAAGAAATTGGAATATAGCATGTTGGTTAATTTTATACTTCTACAGGTATATTTGCATGTTGAAAGAATTATGCTTTTTAAGAAAATGTTATTTACACATAAGTTCAATTTTCTTCTCGAGATTAAGTTTTTAAAAATATATGTTCTTAATTTTCATGACTAATAACAGCGTAAGTATGGAATCAAGTGTAATTCTGTGATGTTTATTTGTAAAAGTTTGCCAACTTTTGAAATTTATTTTTAGGATTATGATGGTAGGCTATAATCCCATGTTTTAATCGCTTATTACACTTTAATTCACAGCACTTTACGTATGTTGAGCTTTAATTAGGCGTATTTTGCACTTATTGTGTGTTTTATGCCCCGTATGAGTGTTTTCGAGCTATGTAGATATTGTGGGATAAATTCATGCTATTTTGGAGCTTTGAAGTCTGATTAAAAGCCCAAGGATTAAGTTGGGATTGTGTTCGGGGATCAATGGATGATAGTGCACTTTAAGAACAAAACGAAAAATCGAGCAAGCATACTGCGCATTGGTGAGTAAAATGCACATAACGTTTCGCTCAGAAATCCGTTTGGGCTCCACAATATATCGTTGAAAAGCTATTTAAAAGGGACACAACTTTCATGTTTTACATTTTCCCAATTTCTCAACTGATACCACCCAGGTGCGCGAGTGTGCACTGGGCGCGCACTTGGGGCAGAACAATGTGCAAAATGCACGACCAAGAGCGCGAGCAGGTCTCCAAGTGCGCGGCCATGCATGTACTGTCTGGGAAGAGTCCTATTTCACTAAGAAAAGGGTAGTTTTGTCCGAGGTTTATTTTGGGGGCGGCTTAAATACACCAAAACATCATTTTTGAGGTACTTTTGACATACCTTAGACCTAAGGAACCTAAAAAGAAGAGGGAGAAGCAAGAGCACAAGAATTTCATCCTTCCTTCCCCGCTCAAGATCCGCGTTTGGATTGTATTTATGAATTCCTATACTTTTATTTTATTTGTGAAGAACTTCTCTATGTCTATGGAGTAGATCCTTTTGGGTTTTGATGGATTTAGTGTATTGATGATTGTTTGTGGATTATAACTCTATTTTTATGTATTTGAGTCATTTTTGGAAGATTTAATTGTTGCATCTATACACTTCTTCTTGTAATCGAAAGAGGCATAACTTGTGATATCTTTGCATTATATTGTTGGTTGAGTTCATAGATTCTGTTAGAACTGGGATTGAAGATGAGCTTGAAGCTCGATCTGGAGTCCTTCTAGAGAGTTCTGTGAGAGAGAAAACATAAGAGAGAAATAGGAATTGGGAAAGTGAAAGCTCGCTTTCTTTTCTCATTGTAGTATAAAGTATATATATGTACAATACCAGAAACTACAACTAATGCTGAGATGGCTAAGTTTTCCCATTAACTAACTCCCCTAACTGTACAACTAACTATCATTACATATAAAAATATATTTATACAAGTCTCAACGCCCCCCTCAAGTTGAAGGTGTTGTAAACACTACCAACTTGCCCAATATCGTTGAATGTTTTACTCATGCTAGAGCCTTGGTGAGAACATCAGCCAACAAATTGTGTGTTGTTACATGGTGGAGTAAAATAAGCCCTTCTTGCAGCTTGCTTCTTACAAAGTGACAGTCCACTTCTATGTGTTTAGTCCGCTCATAAAATACAAGGTTTCTTGCTATGTGTAGAGCTGATTGGCTATTACAAAAGACTTCTACAGGTTTAGCAAAGGGCACAGTAAGCTCTTTAAGTAATCTGCACAGCCACACCAACTACCCTACTACTTTTCTGAGTGCTCTGTATTCTGCCTCTGCTGATTATAGTGAAATAGTCTCCTACTTCTTAGATTTCCAGCATACAGGAATATTTCCTAATAGATTTATGTATCCACTCACTAACTTTCTTGAGTCTAGGCAGGCAGCCCAATCAGAGTCACAGTAAGCCTTAATATTACAGTTTGGATCATATGACATGAAGATCCCCATGGTCGGATCACCCTTTAAGTATCTGAGCAAGTGAAAGGTTGATTTCAAGTGGGGTTCTCTTGTATCTTCGATGAATTGGCTAAGATGTTGTATACTATAGGCTATGTCCATCCTTGTGTTGGTGAGAAAGTTCAACTTTCCAATTAGTTTCCTGTAATGGGTAGGATCAGTTAATGTAGTATCCTCTTTAGCTTTCAACTTCACTGTTGGATCAAGTGGTGAGGGAAGGCTACTATAATCCATACAGTTGTACTCCTTTATCAGAACAAGCACAAACTTTCTTTGTGAGATTATAACTCCATCTGCCTTATAGAGTATCTCCAACCCAAGAAAATAATGCAGTTTACCCAAGTCTTTGATCTTGAAGCTATCATGTAGGAATGCCTTCAACTCCTCTATCTCCTTTTTGTTTGTTCCTGTTAGGATCACATCATCTACATATACTGCCACATATACTGTTGACTCATATGTATTCTTGTAGAAAAGTGAGTAATCATACAAAGAATGGGTATATCATTTGCAGCACAGTGCTTCACTCAATTTGGCATACCACTGTCTACTTGCTTGCTTAAGTCCATACAAGGACTTCTTGAGTTTACATACCAGATTTCCACTATCTACTACTAAGCCTTGTGGCACTTCCATATATACATCTTCATGGAGGTCCCCATGAAGGAAGGCATTATTCACATCTAGCTGGAATATGTGTGTAAGGCCCCGTAAAATTTCGCAAAGAAAAATAATATTTGGCAAAAAAATGCGTTTCTGCGGTCCATTATGCGATCACAAAATCACTTTGCGGACCGCATAATGGCCGTAAAGTGAGGCAAGTGCGGGCCGATTTCGGATGCCATTCTGCGGTCGACTATGCGACCGCAGAACTGCTCTGTGCTTCATTATGCAACCGTAAAACAGGTCTACGGGCCGCATAGTGACCGCAGACCCAGGCAGATTTTTGCCAGTTTTGGATACCAATTATGCGGCCGATATGCAGACGAAATTCCAATTATGTGACTGCAGACCTTGTTCCAGAGCTTCATTTTTGGATTTTTACAATCCGACCCTACTTCGTTAAATAGATGCAATGAACCATTTTTGACTAAAAATATGACATTTTAGAGTGAGAGAGAGTGCCCTAGAGTGAGAAGGTGTTCCTCAATAATTGTTCTTCAATTTTTGCTCAAATCTTGGAAGATTAAGAAGGGAAACTCCCTAGGTCTTCACCCTAGAGGTAAGATTCTACACCCTAACCCTCAATTTCAAATTTTGTCTAGAATTGGGTAATTAGTAAGATAAGTTTTGGGCATGAAAGTTGTTCATCTTGCATGCATGTGTTATCAAATGGTGTAAGAAGATTGTTGATTTAAGAATGGTAAAGAATGGGTTGTGGGATGATGGAATCCTCCATAAAAGGACCTTGAAACCTTATGCACACCTAGTGTTTGATAAAATGCTCAAATGCTCAAATGAGCTAGAACTATAATCATCTTCCTAATTTTGGTTCAACTTATTATATTTCTAAAATAGATTGAAGTTGCTAAGAATTCCGGAACATTTTAGAGTGTAAGGAAGCTCAATTGAGGTATGTTGGCTAAACTCTTCTCTTAGAATTGAATCCCATAGTATTCATGTAATTTATGTAAGACCCGAGCGGTTCATTATAAAATGGCTATTCCGAGTTAGTTTGTGTTGAAAGATATGTGTTCAATAAGTATCCTAAATGCTTTATTCATATTATGTTATCAATTGAGGATGTGTTCAAGTATGGGTTGTGCATTAATAATGTTTCGACTTCAAGTCAAGTTCAAACGAAGGCTATTATGCTAAATTTTGTGAAATATCTCTATGTGCCTTAAACTCTTAATTGCTCACATGTGTACTACACACCTTGATTTGAATTGTCGTTGTTGGTGATGATGATGTTGATGTTTGAAAGTGAAAAGGTGAGCATGAAATACTAAATATGGCCAACATGCCAAGAATAATTTTATAATTATGGCCACTAGTGCCAATGAAATGAAAAGATGTGAAAGAAGTATGAAATGCGATGATTGATATAAAAAGGTTGATGTCTCTAATAAGACAACCTAGCCGATCGGGTCGTGATCAAACACCATGCCGCACACATGGTGTGGATTGTGCTGGAAATTGCAATTGAAATTATGATTGTGGTTGATATCTCTAATGAGATAGCCTAGCCAATCGGGTCGTGATCGGACTCCGTGTTAAAGGTACAGGGTTATTGATATTGAGAGTGATTGTGGTTGATGTCTCTAATGAGATAACCTAGCCGATCGGGTCGTGATCGGACTCCGTGCTAAGAGTACGGACGTATTAGTATTGTGAATAATGGTATTGTGAACAATGGTTTATCGGTGCTATGAATCACCAATATGAAAATATGGGAATTTACGTGAAACTTGATGTTTTGGTATTATTCGAGACTTTCATTGATTTAATAATTATTCCTCCTTGTAATATTATTTGTTCTATTGAGAGGGTATTTAGTTATACATACTAGTACTATTCGACAGTACTAATGTCCCTTTTGCCAGGGGCGCTACATCTTTAACTGGATACATGTGGTTCCACAGTAGGAGATATTGATCAGTGATAGCAACACACCTTCTTCCCAGCTGACTTGGTAAGCCCCACTTTATCCCGGGGTCATGTATCTTTTGTACTTTGTATATTCTATTTGAGGTATAGTTGGGGACTTATTGTCGGCATTATCATTGTAATCTTCTTTATCTATAGAGGCTCTGTAGACATAGTGTGGGTTGTATATTGGTGCTAGGAAAGTCAAACTAGTTATGTTGTGCTTGAATTACTATTTCCACTTCAGATTATGAAAAATATGTGTGAAATTGAGACTTTAAAATGAAGAAACTAATGGTAAGAGATTGGTATTGCAGACATGATCATTTTACTGTCTGATTAACGAAAATATATATTCTATATATTCATGAATGAGTTTAGGTAGAAGGAAATCTAATTGGCTTGCTCGGTCGGGTTCACTCGGTTGAGCGCCGGTCGCGCTCGGTTTTGGGGCATGACAATGTCCCAGCCTCTCTTAACCGCAGCAGCTATGAGAGATCTTACTGTTTTGATTTTCCCCACCGGACTGAATGTTTCTATGTAATTAATTCCAACTTGCTGGGTATAGCCCTTTACCACCAACCTAGCCTTGAACCTCTCTATGCTACCATCTGCCTTATGTTTCACTTTATACACCCACTTGCACCATATGGCTTGTTTCCCAACTGGTAGTGGTACTATTTCCCAAGTGTTATTGGCATGCAATGCTTCAAACTCTTGTGTCGTGGTTACTTACCAGGCAGGATTCACAGCTACTTCTTCATATGATTTAGGCTCTTTGTCACTGCAAATACTTCTCACAAGGCACTGACTATCCTGGTTCAGATCCTCAGCAGGTTTATGATTGTGGGGAGAAGATAAGGCATTGAGAGAAAAGGGTACATTGGTTTTGTTATTGGTATTGTGCTCACTGGTATTTGGTTTCAGCTGGGGTAATTTATGGACACAATCCTTCAAGTATATGGGAACTTTGTGTGTTCTATGAGATTGTCTTGGTTGCAAAACATGCTCAGATGAGGTATTCCTTATAGACCTTATTGGTGGATTATTTTGTGAGTTTTCTGGAATATGTAAATCTATAGTATTGGGAGAGTGTGGTGAAGGAGATGGATTAGATGTCAAATCTGGATGTGTGACATTTGAATCCCATTGATCATTTGGCTCACTAGTTGGAGTCTGCTTATTGTCACTAGACACATGATCAATAAAAAGAATGGATTTTAGAACAGAGGGAAAGGAAACAGTATCCTTAGACATACTAAAAGGAAGGATATTTTCATTTAACACTACATCTCTAGATACCTATGTTTTCTTAGTGGCCAGACTGAGCACTTTATACCCCTTTACCTGTCACAACCGAAAATCCCAACCTGTCGTGATGGCGCCTATCTCGATACTAGGCAAGTCGATAATCAAGATAAACCATAATTTATCTTAAGTTTGAAAATACAATACCAAATCCCATAAATACTGACACGAATACTCCCCAAACCCTGGTGTCACTGGGTACATGAGTATCTAATATAGATACAAATCTGAAACATAAGGTCTATAATAGTCTAAGATCAAAATACAGTAAACAAGGAGATAGGGAAAGAGAGACAAGGTCTGCGAAACACGGCAGCTACCTCTGAATCTCCTGAAAATCAACTGCGTGAAATGATCAACACCCGCTATGTCCGGAAACACCTGGATCTGCACACAAAGTGCAGGGTGTAGTATGTGTACAACCAACTCAGCAAGTAACAATAATAACTAAGGAACTGAAGATAATGACGAGCTACACAGTTACAGTTCACTTTCAGTAATTCCAGCAAAGAATAGATATACTTTCAAATCCGGCAGTTTAAGTCAAATTAATTTTATACAGTTTAATTTCATGTAATCCGGATATAAAATCTTTTAGAGATTTCATTACAATGACAGATAGCAATCAAGTGCAATAATAAATACAAAGCAAGTACAGCCTCTCAGGCAACAATCACTCAACTCATCACTCGACTCTCAGCCCTCAGGACTCACACTCAATGGGTACCCGCGCTCATTGGGGGTGTACAGACTCCGGAGGGGCTCCTACAGCCCAAGCGCCATAATTTGCACGGACAACTCACGTGCTGCACGGACAATTCATGTGCCATAATATCCTTACCTCACCAACAGGCCCTCGGCCTTACTCAGTTCTCAACCTCTCAAGTCTCTCAGGCTCTCAGGAATCACAAAGATCAACCCAAACAAAGATAACATAATGCATCAACAAATATCAAGAAAACCTGAGGTATGATACACAAGTAAAATCATGACTGAGCACAAGATAGTAATTAACAAATAATTTAATAAGTACGTGACCTCTGTGGGTCCCAATAGTACTATCACATAGCCTAAGCATGATTTCTAATATGATTTACAGTCAAATTTCTTCAACACTTAGAGAGCATATAGCTAACAATAAGTTATTCAACTTTATAGTTTCACGGGACATATCAAGTCACAATCCCCTTGTTGCAAGCCCACATGCCCGTCACCCAGCATGTGCGTCACCTCCAAAATAATCACATGACACAAAATCTGGGGTTTCATACCCTCAAGACCAGATTTATAACTGTTACTTACCTCAGAGCGTGAAATTCTTCACTCTGCTATGCCTTTGCCTCGTAAATCGACCTCTAAATGCTTCGAATCTAGTCACAAATAATTCGTTTCAGTCAATAAAATTTATTGGAATTAATTCCATATGAAAAATACAATTTTCCATAAAAATCCGAATTTTAGCTGAAACATCGCCCATGGGGACCATGTCTCGGAACCCGACAAAAGTTACAAAATTCGAAAGCCCATTCAACCACGAGTCTACCCATACCAATTTTACCAAATTCTGACCCCAACTCGACCCTTATATCTGTAAATCCTATTTCCAAATTTCTAAGTTCAAATCTCCGATTTACACCTAAAAAATATGTAATATATTCGGATTATTCGATGATAATTTAATATTATGGAGTAGAAGTCATCACAAGGGACTTACCTCAAGTTTTCCCGTGAAAACCTTGCTCAAAATCGCCAAACCCGAGCTTGAAATGCCCAAAAATGGCGAAAGCTCAAAAACCCTATGTTTTTGTACTGCCCATGTATTTTTCCACCTACGGCAACTTGGCCGCTTCTGCGCCAACCGCATGTGCGGAAAGCCCCCCGCATATGCGCCTTTGCCCGCATGTGCGCGCATGTGTGCGCTTCTGCGCGCGTCTTTCCGCATTTGCGCTCACGCAGGTGCGAAATTTCCCTCGCACCTGCGACCGCTGTCCTACAGTCCATTTTTGCATCTGCGCTTGCCATACTCACTTCTGCGAGCTCGCACCTATGATGGAATTTCCGTAGGTGCGATTGCATTAGAGGGCAGAAACTTCAGCTTTTTCTTCTAAGTCTGAATTAATCTGTTAACCATCCAAAACTCACCTGAGCCCCTCGGGACCTCTACCAAATATACCAACAAGTTCTAAAACATCATACAAACTTAGTTGGACCCTCAAATCAGCTCAAACAATGCTAAAACTATGAATTACACCCCAATTCAAGCCTAATGAACTTTGAAATTTTTAATTTCTACAAACGACTCCGGAACCTACCAAATCACGTCCGATTTACCTCAAATTTTTCCTACAAGTCATAAATGACATAGTGGAGGTACTCAAATTTTTAGAATCGGATTTCGACCCCGATATCAAAAAGTCAACCCCCGGTCAAACTCCCCAAAAATTCAACTTTCGGCATTTCAAGCATAATTCCACTACGGACCTCCAAATAATATTTCGGACATGCTCCTAAGCCCAAAATCACCATACAGATCTATTGGAATCATCAAAATTTATATCTGTGGTCGTTTACATATAAGTCCATATCCGGTCCACTTTTCTAACTTAACTTTTTAATTGTGAGACTAAGTATCTCATTTCACTCCGAATTCTTTTCGGACCCGAACCCACTAACCTGATAAGTCATAAAATAACTATAAAACATAAATTGAGCAGTAAATGGGGGAACGTGGTTATAATACTCAAAACGATCGACCGAGTCGTTACATTACCCAAAAGGATATCCAACAAATACATGAGGTGTGGTTCTAGGTTCAAATTTATCTCTGTGGCCCTTGGGCACTATAGGATAGCACAAGCAACCAAAACTCCTCATATGAGAGTAAGTAGGTTTTCTGTTGTATAGTAGTTCATATGGTGACTTGCCCTTAAAATTAGAAGAGGGCAGTCTATTTATTATGTAGGTTGCACATATGATGCATTCATCCCAATATTTTAGAGGCAATTTTGACTGAAATAAGAGGGCTCTGGCAGTTTCTAACAAGTACCTATGCTTTCTTTCTACTATGCCATTTTGTTGTGGTGTATAAGGGCATGTCTTTTGGTGGATGATCCCTTTAGAAAGAAAAAAACTGATTTGCCTCTGTGTTGTTAAACTCTAGACCATTGTTTGACCTTATAGGTTTGATAGTAGTGTTGAATTGATTTTCAATCATTGATACAAAGTTTTTGATAATATGCAGGGCATTACTTTTGCTGGTTAATAGGTGGGTCCAGGTGGACCTACTATAATCATCCACCATGGTAATGAAATATCTGAAGTTATCATGAGTTGGCATGTGGTAGGGACCCCGGAGATCAACATGAAGTAGTTGAAAGATTTTGGTGGAATTGGTGGATTTTCTAGAAATGGCAATCTCCCCTCTCTTGCCATTGGGCAGACAAAGCATGTAAATAGTTGTTTTTGTGAGAAAGATGCTGGAATACTGGATATTCCCTTCATTTTGGCAAAGGGTACATGACCCAGTCTGTTATGCCACAACACATTTATATCATCACTTGAAGAGATAGAAGGACTGATGCTATTCACAATAGGAAATTGCACTTTATTATTTGGAGAACATGTATTTACAATTGAATGAGATATGCAACTATCCCTAAACAATGAGATATTTACAATAGAATGATGAAACAATGTAATTTGTCTGTGCAGCAAGTGGAAGAAACCGAACTGGCAATTGAACTATTTACTGTTGATTCTGAATGGTTGTTCCCGAGACACCTTGGGTAGAGAAGATACAGGCCATCACTGGCTTTACCAATATTCAGAGGCCTCATCATTGAAAGGGCGTGCAAAAGACAAATATTATCAGTAAAGCCAACAATGCTTTGAGGGGTTGAACTGGTTAATGAATGAATTGATATGAGATTATATATGAAGGAGGGTATATAATGACTTTGTGCAAAATGATCTTGGGAAACAATGTCACACTTCCAATTTGTGTTACTTTTACCTTGTATCAGTTTGGAGAACTACTAATAAGGGATATTGTAGGGTTATAATATTGGTTAGTAAAGATATATTGAAGGTTATGTGATTAGAGGCTCCTGAATATAATATCCAAGAGTCAGCCTTGTTTTTGAAGCATTCAGAGGACAATTTGCCAAAATCAATAGAAGAAGTGTAATTTATTATGCCTGCTAAGTTCACAGCACCACTGACATAGTTTGTGGAGATGGAACTCTCTCCTCCTGTTCCAATCTAAAAATGTTGCAGCAAATTCAGGATCTGTCCATATTGTTCCTTAGAAAGGTTGACATGTCTGACCTCATCTCTATCTTCTGATCCGTCCTTTCCAGCTGGCATTGCTTCAGCAGAGGTCCCTTGCACAGTGGCTACTATTCTCCTTCCTTTGTTGAACCTTGCAGCTTGATTCATGTTCTGTCCTGCGTTTGAACTTTGAGTGTGTGAATTTCTAAAACTCTGAGGGTACCCGTGTAGTTTGTAGTACTTATCCTTGGTATGCCCTGGCCTCTTACAGTAATCACAAAATGGTCGAGGCCTATTACCTCCAATGGAATTGCTATTGTTAGAGTAATTTGTTTTGTAGGAACCATGTTTTGATGTGTTGACATTTAAGGAAGCAGACTCAAAAAACATTTGGTTATTTGGTTTGATCTCTCTCTGCTTCTCATTCTGAATGAGCAGTGAAAAAGCCTGTGCAAGAGTTGGCAGTGGATTCATCATAAGAATGCTTCCACGTACAACAATGTAGACCTCATTAAGTCCCATAAGGATCTGTATCAATCTCCTGTCCTGCTCGGCCTCATGTATGTTCTCCTTGGCACCACATGTATAGGTACAACTGCAGTGAGTCTTCTTATTCAAAGTATTCAGCTCTTTCCAGAGCTTTTTCAGTTTAGTGTAATAACCTGTAATGTCCAGCACACCTTGAGACAAGACGTTTATCTCTTTTTGAATCTGGTACAACCTAGCACAATTAGTTTGCTCATAGCGATCCTCCAATTCTCTCCATAACTCAACAATATTATTAGCATACTCCACACTGTTTGCAATATCTTTAGAGAGTGAATTTAGAATCCAAGACGTTACCATATCGTCGCATCGCTCCCACTGTCGAAACCTTTGAGTTTGAGGATCTGGTGATTTGCACTCTCCACTTATAAACCCTAATTGGTTTTTGACGGACAAACCTCGCATGACACTACGTCTCCAGGATCTATACCCAATTCCACTGAAAGGAACTGAGACGAGCATTGCTCCAAGATTTTCTGACGGATGTAGGTAGAGTGGATCACTTGGATCTATTCCGGTGCTCGTCGCAGTGACGACACCGGTATCACCAACATATGTATCTTCCTGATTTAATACAACCATGAATAGATGAATTTGTTGTGTCACACACTAATTTCAGGTGAAACTTTAAGAATCAATTATCAATTTTGCAGTTCGAACAAATTAGGGCAAATGACGATCGGACTAGAGAGACAAACTAAAAAAAAAGAAAGTAGTAGGCAAAATTGAGAGGGATGATGGCGGATAGTCGAGCATGAGCATCCTTGCTCTGATACCATATTAGAACTGGGATTGAAGATGAGCTTGAAGCTCGATCTGGAGCTTCAATGGAGTCCTTCTAGAGAGTTCTGTGAGAGAGAAAACATAAGAGAGAAATAGGAATTGGAAAAGTGAAAGCTCGCTTTCTTTTCTCATTGTAGTACAAAGTATATACATGTACAATACCAGAAACTATAACTAATGCTGAGCTGGCTAAGCTGGCCCACTAACTAACTCCCCTAACTGTACAACTAACTATCATTACATATAAAAATATAATTATACAAGTCTCAATAGATTCCTCTAAGTAATCAAAAGAGGCTAGTTGAATCATTGATTAAACCTATTTATGAGGATAATCGAAAGAGATTCTCCTAAAGACCAATCCATTACGAATTCTTGCATATCTTCACCGAGCTTAAATTGGTTCATATTGTGAGGTTGAAACTTAATCGAGAGAGGATTTTCTACTAAGCATTTGTACTGATAATTAAGTGAATTCGAGAGACTCACTTGAACATTAGAAGTGACTAATCTGAATTTACATTCCAAACAATTATCTTGCACTTATTCCGTCAAAACCTATTTTCTCCCATTGATAACTACCTTACTTTCCTTTGTTGCGATTGTCATTAGTCGATAACTTTAGATTCTTAGTTATTTGTAGTTAGAATTCATATATATCTCCATTGTTGATCCTCCTGGATAACAATCTAGCTACAAACTACGATAATACTGTTTAAATCCAATCTATGTGGACACGATATTATACTATACTATCTTTGACTAGCGAGTATAATTCGGATAATACTCGTCAGATGATTTATTTATTTAATTCAAGAAATTTTTCTTTATAAAAAATAAAAAAGAAAGTACAATAATATTAAATAAAATCAATCTACTTGATGTTGGCGCTTTAAAACACAACGGAGAATATATATTATAGCAAGAATATAAGTATTTATTATATTATTGATTAAGATTATGTGCAAAACACAAAAGAAGTTAACTATAGTTAAGTATTAATAATTATAATTAAATAAAGCGACAAATGTCATTTGCTTATTAGTTGGGTGTAAATATCCGATGTGGATAAATTTTTACCCTTCTATTCCATTTGATCAGTTTAAAAGTAGAGGTAGTTTTGGGTGCAACCACTTGTATTAAATTAAGCTTAATTGTGTTGTGTAGCCATAATTAATCATGTATTGGAAATTAGAGGTTAAAAAGGGGCAAATAAACGTACGTACGTACGGGATGCCGCATAAATAGTCGATCCCTCAGAGATGGGAAAGGTGCCGTCCTTTCTCGTAATTAAGACACACATAGAATCTCTCTCTCTCTCCCCCTCCTGCCGCATATGTGTTTTTTGGTTTACAAGACCTGAGAATTAAGATCAGCTTCTTTTTAAAATAACCAATACTATTATTTGTGCTTTTAGAGGAAATCACCTACAAGTTTACTAAGGTTTTATTTATAAGTCTTGAGAATTTAGATGCCCTCTTCCCTGTCTGCTGATCAAGCAAACTGCTTGCTGGTTGGGAACACGTTTAGCTATATAACTTCGCTTATACATCAAGAAAAGGAACATTCCTCGAAATTTCACAATTACATTAATTAGCCAAAAAACAAGATTCAAATATATATATATATATGTATATATATAGCCATTTTGAAAGGCGTTATATATATATTATGTGGGCCCATCAATAATTTTTCTAGACTTAAGTGACATAACAAAAATTCAATTGGGTATAGCACCCATATTTAAGGCGCTATACCTCAAATAATTGTACCCCCGGGACTGATTTTTGCCTTATTTAAAGAGGTTAAGGATTTTATAAAAATTCATTCATAAATATGCTCAAGTCTTCTAAAATATTTCTTCGTTAAGTTGTTTTGCATTTTATCATAATGTCTGAAGAGCGAAGAATTAGAGTTTCATTATATTGGGAGGGGTGAGGTTGTGATGGCGAATAACTCAGTAAGTTATAGTTTATCTCCACAGTGTCATGTTAAATTGCCACTTACAATGCAATGGAGTACGATACATTGGTATCGTTGTTATGTAAACAAATGAGTGTGAGCAAATGTTCGGTGAATATAAAAGTAATCGGAAGATATCCATATTCTGTCACTCTGCAAGAGGTTGCTTGTTATGCTGAGTTTAACATCGAAGACGATAATTCTGAGAGGTTTTTTGAGGACTCCAGATGAATACCGGGAATTTCTTGTGATAAAAATGTTGAAAATATACGTCAAGGCTGAAGACGTTCGCAATAATGAGTTTGCGCAAAGTAGGGATATCCCTCAGTCATCAGGTGGTTATTTTGGAGCAATTTTAGTCGAACAGGTTCCGACTGAAAGAGTTTGGATATCCCTATAAGGTTATTTTGGAGATTTTTTATATGTTAGTTTATTATTTTATATGTTAGTTTATTATTGTATATGTTAGTTTATTATTTTATATGTTTGTTTGTTACTCACTAATTTTTTACTATAATAAAATGAAATGATTAATTTTTTATAACTATACAAAATTTATTTATTAAATATTCATATAGCAATACTTAGTTTGACAAATATTATTATTTTCTCATGTTATTTTCTTACGTTTGTTGACTAGAATTGGAGAGAGTTTGTGTTTGAACTATCAGTTTTTTTGGTCGTATTTTGGGATTTAACCGATACTTAAATGATTAATTTCAATAACTATAAGGATACTACGCTAAAGGACACTATATTTTACTACGCTAAAAGGGCACTACATCACAAATACGAGCTCTACATTAGGCCACAAGATATCACTACAGGGAACTAAAGTAACAATTTATCTATTTTACTAGTCTTTTAGCAAATAAATAACCTAAATCGGATAAAAATAATAAATTAATTTAATCACAAAACAATCACGAAAATACATATACCACAGTAA